TAGTAAATTTATATAGTAATCTGAGTTATATTTTACTAAGATCATGCTTCAGTTGAGTAGAGGATCATCAATTAAATATAAAAATTGTGGATATAATGAATCTAATAAAAACAATACATTAAATATAAAAACAAAAAATTTTTTTTTCTTTTATAATTTAGCAGTCTTGTCTCTATTTTATTAGTTTTAATAATATTATACTTTAAAATATTAAATTTTTCAATTTCACCTGATATCTAAATTATAAGTATCAGCTTTCTCAGTTGTTCTCTGCGAATACTTATACATAACCTGCTATAGTAAGGTTTATCTTAATATTAATTTATTTGCAAACAAGTTTATCAATACTTTATTGAATACTTTTTATAGCCTGTTAAGACTACTAATTTATTTTTTACTATTCTGCTCTCTGTTTACCTTTTATCCAACTCAACACTTCATTTTTTGTTATCTCTAACACAGTTTTCTATTTTGCTACAGCTTCTTTTATTAGTTCTTTTCCTTTATAGATCTTATCCATTAGGTTTTTTTTTTCTTTTGCTATTTTTTTTTTTTCTTTTTTTTTTTGTTTTCTCTTGGTATCTGTACTATATTTTTGCTTTTCTTTTCACATTATACTATTTTTCTTCTCCCAGTTCTGTACTAATTTGCATCTTTCAATTCAAATTTTCTCATATATCTTTATTATCTATCTCTTTTAGAGTTTTACTATAAAGTTTTTAGTTTGTTTGTTGAACATAAATACTGGCCATATTTTAGTAAAGTTATTTTTTATAATTAGATCTTTTATCTATCTCTCTTTTCTTTATAACTTTTTGGTGAGACTTTCTTTTTCCATCATAACTAAGATCTTTTTTTTTTTTTATCTATATACTGTATTTCTTCTATTTCTTTAAGGGTTATTTCTACTTGCTTTTTGATGTTTCAAATTAGCTTTATTGATACTTCACAGCTTATTAGATGTTTAATATTTTTCATTTTTTATTGTATATAATATATCTATCAGTTTTGTAAATTCCAGGTTTTCACTGATTGAGCTTTTCAAATACTAGCAAAACATTGTTTATATACTTTAATTCAAAGAGCTGTACTGTATTTGATTTATAAGTGTGATTATGCTGTTTAGTTCTACTCTCTAAGATTTTATAAAAAATTGCCCAATATTGTAAAGTTGCTTTTTCTTGATATGTAATATTTTGACTATTATATACAAATGTCCATTCTACTTTATTTATAACTTTTTCCAATATTTTAATAAAAGAGTATATTGGTTTTTTTATAACCTCATTCTGCTATTTGTATCTTAGTTTGAATTTTTTTATGTTTAATACTGTAGAAGTTAAAAGCTCTGTGGATATTATGCCTTTTTTGGCTTTGAGATCTGCCAAATTATTAAATATATCTCCTAAATAACCCTTAATTTTTGTAAAATGCAAAGTTAGTTGCTTTATAAAACAGAAAAAATCAACAAATTATATAAAGTATTAATCTTAAAAGATATCAAAAACCTATCTCAACCTATTAGTTATATTAATTAACAATAGCAAAACAATATTTAGATCAAAAAAATATCTATTTACAATTTTCTAGTCAGTTTATTAATCAATTAGAAAAAGCAAATAAAATTTCTAAAAGCTATTTAAAAAAATGAAAAATGGTTTATAGTTTTTTACAAAATAATAAGTTAAATATAGAGATTTAAATAATAGCTAGTTTTGATAAATAGTTTATAAAAAAGTTATGTTTTTTTTAATTAGTAAAATACAAATACTACAAATTTTCCAAACAGATTTAAAGCAAATGAAATACCAGATAAAGTTAAACAATAGATTAATAAATTACAAATAGTAGCTGAACATCCTAACTAAGTCTTTGTAAAAGAAATGTTATTAGCTTATGAAACTTTATCTACAGATGATTTTAATAGTTTAATAAATAGAATTAAACATGAGTTAGTAAAAGCATTAGATACATTTAAGTGATAAATAAATCTATAAATACATTTACCTTTTTCTATATGCTGGCTTGAAGGAATTAATAGTTTTGATTTTGCAATTGCAATAATTAAGATTATACTAAATGTCTAAATTTTACAGAAATACAAAAAAATATATAAATAAATTAGTAAGTAATATAAAAAATAAAAAACAGGAATCTTTTAGATTATTTTGAAATATTAAAAGATAATGATTTTCAAGAACAATTTTTGGCTTTTTTACAATCTAACTATATTGAATTACCCAATTATCTATTAATATATAATTTTATTAAGTACAAAATTTGGCCTATAATTGTTCATCAGCAATACCTTGAGAGTATGTTTAATAAATATGATCTCAAAACACATCCTAATATGTCTATTGACCTATAAGAATTAAGGATGCAGTTCTCAGGACCCAAACCTCTCAAAACTTCATTTACTCAAGAAAAACTATCAGAAATTTATTTAAAAAATAAACAAAAAAGAACTATTGTTGAAAATAATTTGATTAATAAAGAAGAATCTGCAACTGAAATGCTTCAAAGGTTTCTAAAACCTTCAAAATAAAAAAAAAACTTATATATATTCATATATATGTACAAATCTAGACAGAGCTAATAGTAAGAATAAAGTTTTTTTAATCTCTTGACAATATTCATGAAACTATTGTAACCAGTAGATAAATAATCAGGTAGACTTTTTTCCTGTCATATTAATTTATTAAGTATACCGTGATAGAAGTCTCTAAGCTATGGTGTTTTCAAATATCTACATATTAGTTAATGCAAACCAGTGAAAAGTACAACATTTGTGTACGTGGTTAATTTTTTTTGTACAATGATAAAAAAAAAGTATTCGTGAAACAGCCACAAAGATCATATAAATTTTATAAACATTACTTGGATTTTTACATAGTGCATTGGATACCCCAGTGAGGTATTTTGCTGCTTACTCTTTTTATTGAGGAAAAAGCTAATCATTTACTACTCATTTTTTCCCATATAATAAAAATAAATAAATACTATTGGCCAGATTAGATTCACGTGTTTATTATAATTTTGAAATTTTAATGTTAGACGAAACTAATTTCGCCATATTTCAGACTCGGATTGGGCGAAATACTTAGGTTTTGCCCGCAACATTAATAACAGATGTTATATTTAAGCCAATAGCAATTTGATTGGATATGAAATTCAAATTGCTTAATTTTGACCTCTGCTCCATTAATACGTATTGTTCGGGTCCTCTCAGACCCGTTCCGACGGGTTGATTAAAGTGCTTGAGAACATTCTAGGATTGGCCTGATTTATAGTTAGTGCTGGCCAGGTGTAGATTGGTGGTGAAAATGTGATTGGCAAGCTCTGCTAAAAGTTAGTATAAAATAAAAATTACTAAATTTAAATACTGTATAAAAAATTTGTTAACTGAATATTGAAATAATTAATACAGTCAACACTTTCTATAATGAACTGATAATTCTGGAAGAAAAAAAAGTTCATTATAGAAAGTTACATATCATGTTTTCTTAAGAAACCATAGCTCTTTTTATACTGAACCATTATAAAATTAAAATTGAGTTCTTTATTAAATGATTATAATAAACAATAGAAATTAGTAAATTCTCTGCATAGCGTTATAGCGCAGTTATCATATTGCATAATATTAGCAAATGCATATATCCTATGTTTTAAGGACAAGGGTATACAATCCAGTAATCAAGGGAACCATGATAATGCCAACAGATATCTTGAGTATTATCGAATGGTCCGCGTATTTTCTCATCTTCAATTGTACCTTTAGCGGAAAAGATGACCCAGAATTGGGAAGCATCATCAGGTATTCCCAAACTGAAACTATCGTGAGCAGTACTCCATTGTCTATCATATTCATGATCGCAATTTTCATTATTGCAAGCAACAGCTTGAGCAATAGTACCGAAGACCAATTTGTTTTGGATCCATACTGTTTTGCCTACATATATATATTGATCAATACATTGAGCCAATTACTGCTGCTTAATTGTTCAAAGTTTACCTTCAATAAGTGGTACAGAAACTATAATGCTGAAAATGATAGCAATAAATAAAACTAAAAAAGAGATACTTGGACGAGATTTCATGATGATTATAAAAAGATATATTTAGTGAACTTAATAAAATTTTCGTTTTTTCCTAGATAAAATAATGAATAAAGTTTTATTTTTTGAATTTATTATCAGTGTATAAATACAAGTTTTGGTTTATATAAAAAATGAATATTGAATAAAATTTTATGGACGTTATATGGGATCTTTGCTAGGAAAATCACCCTTCGGGTTTTCCGATCGGGCTAATTCGGAAAATCTTAGACCAGAATGCCAGTTCTTATTCATATGTAAATCACCTTTTGCTTTATTTATTCGATAGTTTAGAAATAAACTGTCGAATCAGTAAAGTAAAAAGACGTTTTACATATGAATAAGAACCGACATTCTGGTCTAATTAGCCCGATCGGAAAATCCCGAAGGGCCATATATATTTTTTATAGATGTCGATATGTCAGATAGATAATCGATTTTGGCGCGTACAGTATTTTCAAACAGATATCTAATACTTTTTGATAGAAGTATCTCGATATGTCATAGAAAATTTTAAAATTCAACAATCTATGTTCGCAATTACCTTAAGTGCATATTCAGTTTTATACAATAGTACACATATTAAATTTAAAATTAATCGGTCATTTGAAAATAATGATGCAGAATTAATCACATTCACATGAATATGTTCAATGTTATTTTTTTTTTTAATTTTGCGTCTTCGTGAAATTATGTTCTGACCCTATAAAAAAAGTCGAACCGTGTTTTATATTTTCCGTAAATATTGCATATTATAACATTAAATCATGGAGATTATTCGACTTGTCCAGATTTTGTCGATGTTGCAGATTCACAAAAAGTATGGAAATATAATGGAATATTCGGATAAAATTTCTTACAGGTGAGCATATGAATTGTAATATTAATACCTGCAAAATAGAAACTATTAAAAGTTCGAAGGACGAGATTACAGAAGATCAATATGGGATGGATGACCTGAATTGTATGGTTATATAGAGTTGTAAAATGCCTATTTTAAAAACAATACCATACTAATTTGCTACAATTATGCTAGCTCTAACAATAGACATAGAGCTTCGAAACATAGAGCTTCGATCCTATCCGAATTGAATTTGGATTCACTTTCATCCGGTTATAATTGAGTAAATTCGAATTCGGAAAAATCATTGATCGACCAATCAAAATTGCGAATTTTGAAAATGGTAGAAAAAATTTTTTTTAATTTACATATTTGCTACCGTATAAGCGCGAAATAACATGTAGGGACGTTATTTTGAATAATGGCACGAATTAGGCTAAAAGAAGACAGCAGTCATGTGAGTTTTAGCCAATCATCGGTGTAATATGATACAGTAAATATAGTAAATAAAGCAAAATAATCATTCTAACAGCTCTTTACGGTTAGTGTTAGGATGAGAAAGTTTGTATTCTAAAATCATTCTAACATCTCTTTATGGTTAGTAGAGTTCCAATCCAGATAATTCAGATCGCTCAGATATTCGGATAATCCGAAAGGTATTCGAATAATTATCCGGATATCAATAATAAACGAATATCCGAATAAATTCAGATCCGGATATAATTATAAACGCTTAATAGATTGGAACTCTAATGGTTAGTGTTAGGATGAGAAAGTTCGTATTATAAAATCATTCTAACAGCCCTTTATGATTAGTGTTAAGATAAAGAAAGTCATATTATAAAATCATGTATACCGTATAGCGTGAAATAACGCCCACCTGCGCGCTAATCAATTGACCTACGCGTTATTTCGAATACGCCCATGTGCGTTATTTCGAAATAAGAGAAGATTTTCTAAATTCAATATAGCGGCCTTCAATAAATGCATGTTGTTGAGTAAAGGTGCATTTATAAACAAGGGAAAAAGGCCGTTCGGACTTTAATTACATTTTGTATACAGTTAGCCGTCTATGGAATATCTATCATGATGATAAATTTTCTATAGACAGGTACACAAAATATAATTGAAAGTCCGAACGGTCTTTTTCCCTTGGCAGCACTCATATAATATTAAATAATTACATAAATTATGTGCACTTATCATTATAGGGAAAATGCATACTTATACGTAGCTGTATATGAGTATCGACCGTATATCGCAACAGTATATTATGAGGATGCGTGTTAATTCGGGACGCCAATAATGAGCGCTAATTCGAGACCATATAAGTTGTTTTTGAAGGACCCGATTTTCAAAATAACGCTTATACGGTATCGAAAATGTGTACAAGCGGATAATCATGTGATGGTCCCGATGACCGAGAGATTTCTTTTAATATCAACAATATCAACAATAATGATCGGCCGTTTGAAGTTAATTTTTCGGTTAACATCACTTTCCAAAACTCTCGGAAGAGGGGGAGGGGGGGAAATGAAAAAAACATATAAATGAATAAACTATTTTTAATTCAGTAAATATATTATAACGAATTTGACTTCAAGTTAATTTAGTCTAGAGATTCTAGTTGAGTTGCTAATTAAGTCAGATAAATTTGATTCAGTAGTTAACATTAACATTCCTATTATAAAAGAGAGGAGCAAAAATAAATAAATAAATAATTAATTAATTATGTGATGCATTCATCCAAGAAAAAGAACTCCGTACGTACAATTTTTACAGCAAAAACTCTCGTGATCTAATGATCGGATCTGCATCATTTTAAAGTAGCGATCACAGATCGGAATTTAATTCCCCCCGAATACAAATTTTGTCCTGAAATAAATCTGATAATTGGTTTGTAATTGTATTTTTGTAAAAGTTAAATGTTTATTTAAATATTTCTTCTTACTCATTAATACTAGTTCTTTAGCTCTTTACAATCGAATAAAAAACACTTCGGAAGCTCTTTTTTCAGCAGATTTTTTGAATTGTTTCATTACAAACTGAAATAAACATATATGAGAGGACAGCCAAGTAGGAACTTAAATTTTGGCTTTATTTTTTATTATTTATTTTTTTTTCTTGTTTTTTTTTTAAAAAAAATGATTTTTTTATTTTTTTATTTTTTAATTTGGTTACTTTTATTTTTTAAATTATTTTTTTTATTTTATATTTGCCGTATAACCATGAAATAGTGCATAGGGAGTTATTTCTAATTTTGGCCTGAATTAAGCTTAATTTAGGCCGAAATTCGAAACCACACCCCAGCGCGTTATTTCATGGTTATATGGTATTTTTTTTAATTTTTACTTTTTTTATATGTTCATCTTACCGGGAGATCAAAGGGGAGGGGGAGGGGTGATGTTAACCGAAAAATCAACTTCAAACGGCCTTAGTTACTATTATTTATATTTTTATTTGCGCATACATTAAAGAAAAGAAAATAAAAAAAAATTATATTTATTTATTTGATCTACTAATTCTTCAAATTCTAATTAAACTTGACTAATAATCATGCAGCAAAACATGAATTTATATGATAAAAAAAAAGTTTTATTCTGAGATTTATTTATTTGCTAAAATTTTTTTAAATAACTTATTTGTATTTTCATAAGGAAAATTTTTCTTTAACCTTACTTTTATTATTACAAATAAATTATAGCCAACTCTTTCTATAATGAACTGATATATTAAAAAAAACAAATTCATTATAGAGAGGTTTGTTATATGAATCCACCATGGCAACCACAAAAATTTCAAGTTACATAACCAAAGATTCTTTTTTAGCAAAGATTTCTTAGTAACCATATAATCAAAGTGAATAAAATTTTTTTATTTTAATTTATAACTTCATAGAATTAAAATAAAAAAAATTTAATGGAATATGCACTGTTAGTTATTGAGAAACCTTCGCTTGAAGTTTTAAAAAAATTAGAAAGCCACAATAAAATTAGGTAAATTTCCCTTAAAACTTTATACAGTCAGACCTCTATAAATGCAACCTCTCTAAATGCATGTTTTATAAAAAACCTTCATAAATGCACAGTCTTGCTATGTCTCTACTACATATACATTTATAGATTTTTACCTCCCTAAATGCAATACCTCCATAAATGCAAGATTTTTTAAAATTTCTATATAGTCTGTGCAAATTGCATTTAGAGAGAGTTAACTGTATAATGATCAACTACTAGTTTAAATTCGATCAATTTTTATTATTTTAATTCTACAAATTTGCAAGTAATATTCAATTAAAGATAAAAAAAAATTTAGCTGCAGCTTCTTTTAATGGGTATTTAACAGTTACTCTAATTATCTGATCAAATTATATGAAATTTTTTATTTTAATTTTATAAACATAAAATTAAAATAAAAAATTTTTATAGATAATTATCGAGAAATCTTTATTCAAAGTTAAATATTTATCAAAAAGAAGCTATAGCTAAATTTTTTTCTATTTTTAATCATTAGGTAAAATTTTATTTTAATTCTACAAGTTTATAAAATTAAAATAAATAAAAATTGATTGAATTTGCACTGTTAGTTATTGAAAAACCTTCGCTTAAAGGTTTAAAAATATTAGAATGTCTTAGAAAAAATAATAAAATTGGGCAAATTTTCCAATTGATATTTAGTATAGGTGGGAATATATAAATAATAAAGATTATTTAATATAATAGGCAATCTGCCAGTCACCTGGATAAAAAATTTTTTTTTTATATATAAATTTTACTATAAGTACGAATGCACAGCGCTTTTATCTAAAACTTTTTTTTATACTAAGTAAATCACTCTTCGGCTTCTAACAAAAGTTGTAGAGCTCATCAAAATGTAT